CCATTAACATCAATATCAGAGGGCTTCCAGGTTGGTAAGAATATCTGTTCTCTGAAGGGTGGTGGGCCCCTTGGATTGTTGAAGCTCTATTTAGGGAACTCTATCAGACCTTACCCCATGTATCTCTGTATATATACTTTTGGGCTATAATTAGTCTATAATCTGTATGGTAAACTCTTCCTGAACTTCAGACAGGATAGGGAAGCACAAATGGCTGCAGTGTGACTACAGACTAAGGCAACAGTAATTTCCTTTTACAACTGAGTTGGTGGAGAGTTCCGACAGAAAAGCTTCCAGAGTCAGGTCTTCTCTCTTAACAAATCTTTTAAGCTATTTTATAGAAACACTACCTCAGAGACCCAGACCTGCTGCCATCCTATGTGAACAGCACCCACACCATTTTGTGGAAATACAGCATGCACACTTTCCTGAAAACCCTCATTGCCTCCCCCTCAACACTATAAACTACAATTCCCAGAATCCCTTAAATCCCTTAAAAGAAATGAAGCCTGAATGCTCTCTTATTTATAGCGCTGGCCTATTTTTCCTCATTTTAAATTGAAGTTTTAGGAGATTCTTTGCCTGTTGGACAGGAGAAAACTGTGTGTTTCATAATCTGGGCTATGAATATTTGTGGAAAAAATAAAAATGTGAAGGAAAGGTATCTGGGTTTAGAAACAAAGTAAGGGCTGTGTCCTTTAAATCTCAGCCTTCCTTTTTAATGACTATGTACAAGCACATTCCTTTACTTCCTTAAAAATTCCATCCTAACTAGATACAGCAGCCAGCCTCCAAGAGTCCAATTGATAAGGGCTGTCTCGCTTCCCACCTTTGTGTAATTCCCTCTCACAGGTCTATGTGACCAACAGAATGTGGCAAAATGTCAATTCTGAAAGTAGGCTGCTAAAGACAGCCTTTTTTGTCTTGGGGCTATTGTTCTCTCTTGGGTTGCTCACTCTAGGGAAAGAAAATACCATGTTGTAAAAACATTCAGGTGGTCTATAGAAGCCTCCAGTTGTGAGGAAATGAGTCTCCAAACACTGGATGAGTAAGGGTTCCAGTGGGTCCCTTCCCATCAAACCAGAGCCCACAGCTGACTGCAGTCCCAAGAGAGGAGGAGACTCCGTCAGAAGCACCCACAAGCCTTACCTGAAGTCGCCGCCTCAGGTGCGGCACGACTGCGAGCGGAGGTATTAGGAACGTGTGGAAAGAACAAATGTTTCTTGTTTACAGTTTCTAATAAGTTCTGAGGTAATTTGTTATACAGAAACAAACAATAGTTCAATGAAGAGACGTTTGCTCTATTTCCATTTTCCTAAGTTCTGTTCCAAGTTGATAGGGACACCGCTTTGACACGTAAGAAGTCTAATTTTGAAGACCACTAAGGCTCCTGCCCCAGCACTCCCATTTTGGGGCATGCGGAAAGTAAGAAGGAGCTCCCAGAGGAATCCTGATGAGCCTTTGGGGAACTTATCAATGTGCACACGATCAGGGGCACTGCCCTTTTGCCTGTGCACAGCACCTCACCAAGGCCACAATTTGGGCTCCTGGCATTTTCTGCATGGTTGGCATTTGTTACCATGGCATTTTGGTCATAACCCTATGACAGGCTTACATCTCTGTTGACTATAAATTTTCATTGTCACAAGAGTGAGAAAACCTTCTTTGTGAAATATACATTTTAGTTCCTCTGTTCTGAGGAAGAAGATATTTCCTTGGGATAGATTCCTGAAATTGACCAGCCAGGGGTGAGAGAAGCTATGAATAATTTTATAGCTTTGGATGCACTCAGCCAGTTTACTTTCTGGAATGATTAAATCAATTTAGAGTAAGAAAAATATATCTTTGTACCAGTTATATCAGAGACCAGAAAACAGTGTGCTATGTTTGGTCTTTTCTTCAGCCTTTATGTATATTTCAAATAATACAGATCAAAATATGCAATTTCACAAAACCAAAATATTGAACAGAGAAAGTTGACACAGCTTATTATCTTTGTCTCATTCTGAATTATTTGCATAATCAATACTTCTGCTGCTATTAAGGCTTACATTTTTAAAACAAAAATATGAGACATATTGACTTGCTTCTGGGTGCATTGACTTGGGACGTCTGGTATCAAAGGTTCAAGAAAGGAATAAGGGGATAGCTGGCAGACATAGGCAACAGAACTGCAGGCTTCCCCCAAATAACCATAACACCTGGGGACCAGAAGGCCACCAGGCCAATCTGGGCAAACAGGGTAACAGCCCTCACCAAGCAAGTCCCAAATCCCTCAACCAACTTACATCATTAGCTAAAAATGCAAGGCTATTATTTGACTTTTATTTTGTTTACTCCATGCCTTAAGATGGCAGAATACTTTAGCTGTCTGGTGGCATGTCAATTGTGTGTCCACAAGGAATAAATATGAAGTGCTGACAAGCAGGGACAAGATGTCTAGACTGTGTGCCACACCTCTGAGCCTAGCTCTCCCCACTTAGGCACACTAAAGGTGGACTGAGGCCAACTAGACCTCTAGTCTTCCTGAATTCCTTACATGGCCTTGCTGTCTACAGACACCATCCAACCGGATGATCTAATCTGAACTGAACCCTGGGCATTTTCTAAGTTAACAAAACTATTCCAGAACTGAAAGTGTCTTCGGGCTGACAGTTAAGCAAGCAGGACTCAGAGTCTCAGACTGG